AAGTGCTTTTGTATTGATAGAACTTAAAGGAAAAGGCTTGCGAGTTTGTTTGGCAAGAGGACAAATTGAGCAATCATGAATGGAACAGAATTTTACTCTTTTATTAAGCAAAGACACAGCTTTCAGACTTTTATTAGAAATATGACCTAGACGTTGATGCCAAAGATGAGGATGGGTGGAAACGATGGCTAAAACAGAGAAACACCCAGCATTCTTCTGAATATCCAAGTAGTAGAGTCCTTTCCGCTCAGTTCCCGTCCCAATCGTCTTCCCCGAATGTTGGTCCTGAACAAAACAAAGATTGTTAATGAACGGTGCATAGCAAGAGGAAGACTTAGTGAGCGCTGCTACTGATATCAAATTTAATTTGAAAGATGGAACACATAACACGTCGTGAAGTATGAGTTTATCAGAAAAACATATGGTGCCTATATGTGTTATACGGGCAAGAGCATGGTTTGGTAGATGCACATAGCGATTGGTAACGGGCGTGCTGGTGGTCATAAGTTTGGATGAGCAGACCATGTGATCGGTTGCTCCTGTATCAAAAATCCACTGAGTTTCTGAAGATACGTTCACACAAAACGTAGTACCTGAAATATTTCTAACCGTTGGGGCTGAACTCACTTGATTTGCCATGTTGTCTGGCTTGGTTCGATTAATAAGAGCAAGTAAATCATGATATTGTTCTGCCGTAAGACTGTAAGGTGGGGATGATGATGCTTCAGCCTTATTTGGTTTGAATTTAGAATAGTGTGCTTTAGGAAGCAGGTTTGAATTTTCTCTTTTATCTCCAAGAGTGGTAGGCCCCTTTAGTTTGGGACAAACATCAATAGTGTGACCTTTGTAACCGCAGTAATCACACTTGAGATGGGCTCGACAGTTTTCTGTGGAGTGTCGTGTGATATTGCAGCGGCCACACTTGAGGTGAGCATTCTTCGAAAGATGATTCCTGTTCTGGCTTTGTGACAGCAAATGCAGCAGCATCTGGTGCTTTTCCTATCACCTGTGAAGAAACAGCCCTTTATTTTTCGTCTTGAACAATAAGAGAGAATACCTTGTTGGCAGGAGGTAAGGGCACAATGAGTAAGATCTGTCCATGAGCTGTTGCATAGACTCCATCAAGTCCCATGAGGAACTTTATGGTTCGCTCCCTCTGTTGGTAATCTTGTAACTTCTTCGCTATGTCACCATCACAAGGTGGGAGAGGATATAAAACATCTCGTTTATCCCACAAGCCTTTCAGTTTGGTGTAGTATTCATTGATGCTCATACCTTCCTGTACACAATGTTGAATCTCTTGATCAACATGAAAAAGATCTACACTGTTTGTTTGAGAAAACCGCTCCTTCAATTCATTCCAAAGCGTAAAGGCACTATCATTGTACATTACGCTTTGTGCAATGTTGGGTGAAATGGTATTGAGAATCCATCCCTTAACAAGAAGATTGCAGCGAGTCCACTGTTTGATCTCCGCTGCGGATCCGGAGAGTGGTTTGATAATGGTACCGTCGATGAGACCGTCTTTGTTTTTGGTGGTGAGAGCCATGAGCATGGCATGGCTCCAAACATGATAGTTTTCTTGCGTCAGTGTTTAAGTCACAAGGACCAAGCCTGGTTGATCCGAATGATGAAGGTAGAGGGGGTTGCTTGGATCTTCGAACATGTTCGTTTGAAGTTTGGACTCCTCCAGTTGCTTCGATGTTGTCTCGTCATTTTTCGCCATGAGAACAGATGGTGAAAGGTGTGACGGCTAGGTTTGTTTTGTTTTGGTTGGGTTACTGTGCGAGATGTATTTTACTGCTATGATACCATAATAAGTTGGTTTGTGCTGAAAACTTGATTTCATTAAGCTGTAAGGATATATTTATACAAAAAGGAAAAACTATTCAGAGCCTAAGAATCTGTTCAGTATGGTAAGTTTCCTATGCTATCCTATATTACAAGAAAAGTATCGAAGCAATAATATATACAAAAGTCAATGATCAATCATTCCTAGAATCTTGCATATTTTCCTTAACAAATCTTCCTAATATATTCCGGAAGATGAATAAGCTACGACATCTTTACATGTACGCTCATGCATTTGGGAAGTCGCTCCAAATTGACACCCTACAACATCTCCAGACTCTGTCAAACCTTCATATTCAGGATTGGAAGCAAGCCAATCCTGCGAATTTGATCAATCTTAGAAAATTGGGGCTGACAGGAAACTTCGGCACAAACGCAGATGAAATATTTATTTCTTTGTCGAGGCTTTTGTGCCTGCAATCCTTGTTCCTCCAGTCAGAAGACAACTTTATGTTTCCATCTCTCCGTCAACTTTCTTTGCTTCGACGTGTCATCAAGCTGCAAATCAGAGGAGAGATAAGGAAGTTGCCGAGTTCAAATGAATTCCCGCAAAGGCTGACTCAACTGATTTTTCACAAATCTCATCTCAATGACGATCCTATGGAGATGCTCAAGGATCTTCCTTATCTATTTGTTCTCAGATTAAAAGCATTTTCTTATGTTGGTAAACAACTAAAAGTTTCTGCTGGTGGGTTCCCTCAACTTGAGATTCTGGAGCTTGAGTACTTGCTTCTGCAAGAGGTACATGTTGAAGAAAGTGCATTGCCACAGCTCAGAAGTTTTCACATTTCCAGTTGCTCGGATCTGAGGAGGATCCCTGAAAGGATGAAGTTTGTGACGACTCTGCGTGAGTTGCAAATCAGACAAATGCCAAGAAGATTCACAGATAGGCTTCAAGGGGAAGATTATTGCAAAGTCCAGCATGTTCCTTCTATCAAAATCCTTTAGTTTGACGACATCATCAGTAAATTTTCTATGCTTCTCAACGTCTTTGTTTACCATGTTGTGCAAGTAATATGTCTAGGAAAGAATTTTTCTTGATGTTTAGTTGATACTGCAGATCAAGGTCAAGGGAAGGAGGCTTTGGATTTATAAGCAGATTGGGCAGCATTTGGTCTGTATAAAAGAGGTGTCATCTGTAGTCTGTACCTTGTCAAAATTATGTTCTGCACAAGCACAAGTGTTGAAAGCTAAAGATTCTTCTAGATGGAAATTGTTGACTAGCTTTTTATGCCTTTGTAGAAGGGAATTCTATGCAACAAATTGAACAAAACTTGATTTGTGAGTGACTGCTACTCTCTGAGACGTTCATTAGCTTCTGTTGGATTTGTAGAACTTTCAATAAAATGGCTCATTAGCTCTTAGAACTAAATCTGTTGGCTTTCTTGAGCCATTTCCTTGTTCCTTGCGACGTGAATTTTCTATTGCCTGTTTCGTTTGGTGCATGTTAAATAGTAAGTGTTCTTGAATTTTTGTATTGAGATGGACTTTGGAATAGTTTTCGGATCGTAAAGAGCAGTGCTAAATAGCTCTGCAGAGCCGCAGCTTTGCAGGCACATGGAGTGAGTCCCATGTGGAGCCCCTAAGGGCACGGGCCAACTCCATGTGTCTGCGGATCTGAATGGCTCCATGGAGCTGTATAGCATTTTTGTATTTTAAAAGATACTATACAAAATGCGTTAAAGATCATACATACATTACAAATATGGGAGGGCATTTGCACTGTTCTTTTTATTTTTTATTTTTTTTATATAAGCAGTCATGTGCTGACATACTGTTACAATTCCAAAATTATATAGGATGTTATCAATTATACAAAAAGATTGTCTAGAATATTGTTATTAGTTATATTAACATGTAATATTTATTTTTTATTTTTATTAGTTGCGGGTTAGTAACACACTTTTTTTTTTGCTGGTTTCGGTTAGTAACACATACTTGATAGCACAAGTATCTTATTTCATTCTATGACTGAATTGAAGGGAAAGTCATTTGTGGATGAAAATATTTACGAAGGGACAAATAATTTGTAGATGAAATATCGAAGTTCATCTTCTTTTTTTTTTTCACGGGAAATATATAATTAATTTTGTGTTACATGGAAGCGAAGGGGAATTGGAAAAAAAAAATTAAAAAAAAAATCTTGACTTTATCTAAGGCTTTAAATTTTGAAGCGGCAGAAGTACATACTCGTTATTTCAGCAATAATTATTTGATTTTAGGCCCCTTTTTATTATCATTTCTTTTCATGGTTAATTAGTTGCATAGACAGTGACACTAAAAAAGTCTTAAACCAAAATGAATCTTTTTAATCTCATGTTGTCTGCAATTCTTGTTCACATGCAATATGGTTCCGTAAGCCATACTTATAACCACTGTCTGTCTTCCTTTTTACTATAAGACTGCCTGAAATCTGAACTATGCCACAAATGAAAACAAATTATGTTCCTTTTTCTAATCAAACAGATAATGTTCCTTACTAATTGTATAAGATTTATCTACAGCACTTTTCTTGATAAATAATTTATGCGCACGTGAGACAGAAGAGGGTATATTCAAGTATCAAAGATTGTCAATCAATAAACAAAGATAAAAAATGAATAGAGTACAAAATAAAAACGGAAAATGGGGACGGACTACCAAAAGAGGGTATATTGAACAGGATTTCAGACAATAAAAATAAAATAAAATAAAATATCAATGTATCTAGTTTTAACACTGTCTTATATCCACTGTCTTCCTTTTTACTATAAGACTGCCTGAAATCTGAACTATGCCACAAATGAAAACAGATTATGTTCCTCTCTACTTGTTTTAGATTTATCTACAGCACTTTTCTTGATAAATAATTTATGTGCACTTGAGACAGAAGATGGTAATATTCAAGTATCAAAGATTGTCATTCGAAAACAAAGATAAAAAGTAAAAAAGAGTAAAAAATGAAATGGAAACGAACTAGCAAAAGATGGTATGTTGAACGGGATTTCAATTTTCAGACAATAAAAAAAAAAAAAAATCAATGTATCTAGTTTTAACACTTTTGTTAAAAAGGGGTTATTTATCTATTTTGGTGATCTTGTGGGGTCACATGATAAAAAGGATTCTCGCTCGAGACCGCGAATTTGCGCCATCGAACTTGACGCCGTACGTGGAATGAACTACCCAATCAGATGAGACCCGCAGCCACCAAAACTCAACTACTCAGAGAAGTTCTCCATCTACAACTAAACTACTTCTCTCTCTCTCTCTCCCCTCTGCAAAAGCAAAAGCAAAAGCAAAAACAAGAACGAAAATGGAGGTGACGAGCTCGTCGTGGGACGAGTGGGTCCAGGGGGCACTTTCAAAGCTGGAGTCTTTGCACCTCACTCGTTCTCTCAGACCCATCCACCTCCGCTACGAACCACAACGCTCCATTCCCAACGACGAACTGCAAGTGTTCGACGAAATGCAGCCATGGGACCGCTCCTCCGTCGAGGTCCGGATTTCAGATGCCACATTCCAGAAATGGCTCCTCGACATCACTAGTTCCGGTATTTTTGCATGAATTTTAAGCTTTTTTTTTCCGTTTAATAACGTTAGAATTTGAACTATTTCATTTGTGCTTAGTTCATAATTATATGATGAATTGTGCTTAGAATTTACGCTGTGGAGGATTTTGCAGGAGATGAGGCTGATTGTGGACAGGTTTTAGCCGATTCTAAAGCAGGGACATGTCCTCAGGAATTCAAGAAGCTGCTTTTGTTCTCTGGAAATGATTATTTGGGATTGAGTTCACATCCCACAATTGGAAAAGCTGCTGCAAAGGTTTGATGATAATAATTGATGTTGTTTTTAGTTTAACATTTTTCTTGTACGTTTTGCTAAATGTTTGTTCTGTAATTAGGCAGCACAAGAACACGGAATGGGCCCGCGAGGTTCCGCTTTAATCTGCGGATATACCAATTACCATAGGCTGCTAGAGTCGTCCTTGGCGGACTTAAAGAAGAAAGAGGTATAAATTTCTTTACAAATAATCTTTTAGCTCTTCATGAATTTTGTCAAAATATGCATCCTGTTAATGCACAAGGACAATGAGCGTGTGATCTGTTACTTATTGTTGGGTAACAAAAGTCAGAGTGATTTAGTTGAAACACATTGTGGATCATTTTTGTGGGTCTAGATCTCATGATTTTTGTTCTTTATTTTCCCCAAAAAAAAAAAAAAACACTGATGATATTATTTGAACTTTGTGGACTAGGATTGCCTACTTTGTCCTACTGGGTTTGCGGCTAATATGGCCGTGATGGTAACACTGGGAAGTGTTGGATCTCTCCTGGCTTCCGGTGTAAAACCTTTGGAGCATGAAAGGGTGGCCATTTTTTCTGATGAATTAAACCATGCTTCAATAATTGATGGGATTCGTCTTGCTGAGCGACAACGTAGCGTAGAGGTTTTCATCTATAGACACTGCAACATGACTCAACTTAATGCATTGTTGTAGGTCTTATGAATTTTCTTAAACATTCTTGCATATCTTATATTTATGGAAATGTCTATAAATGTATTTAGATATTTATTGTCCTGTGATTGTATCTCAGCATTCCATCTTTGTTTTGACAGATCAACTTGCACACTCAGGAAGAAAGTCGTAGTGACAGATAGGTAATCATGATGTTACGGCCGCTTCTTTCAGTGCCACTGTTTTAATGCACTATTGGGTGAGACTTTTAGTTTTTAAAAAATAAAGATAACCTGAAACTAAGAGGTTGAAACAACTATTTTCTCGATATAGTTACAATACTTTTCTGAAAGCTTGAATTTTCACACAATTGATTCCAAAACGGTATCAAAGCAGTGGTTGTTAAAGTGGTTTTCTGTTCAGTTTTATGGAGTGTGAACCCACATTTTAAGTTGGGTCTATTTTCATTCATAATGCATATACCCTCATGCACATGTCAGCGCTAGATATTGAATCTGTTTGGAAGCTTGATTTCGTTCTTGTTACAGCTTGTTTAGTATGGATGGAGACTTTGCACCTATGATTGAGCTTGCAAAGCTGCGGAAAAAGTATGGGTTTTTGTTAGTGATTGACGATGTAAGTCTTCCTAAGGTTCTGGATATAATGCTAGGCCGTTACATAAGTTTCATGGCATCTGTTGGATAGTGAAAAGTATGATTGATTAGACCCCAGGGTAAAAAAATTCCATTTTGCTAGTATTGATCATAAATTAATTGCCTTTTATGCTTAACAAATTATTTACTTTTCTAGTGGAGACCGTGTAGAGTAAAAGAAACATTCCCTATTGATATAACAAGAATGTGTGTGATTGTTTTTGTTTCAGGCTCATGGAACATTTGTTTGCGGCAAAAATGGTGGTGGGGTGGCTGAGCAGTTTAACTGCGAGAAAGATATTGATATATGCGTTGGCACTCTGAGCAAGGCTGCAGGTTGCCATGGAGGATTCATAGCATGCAGGCAATTACTATGCATTCTTCTGATTCTCTCTCTTTCTTTTTTTTTCCTTATTTATTTACTATTTTTTTTTCCTACCAGCGAAAAAGTCTCATCCTTTAGTTTTTAAGTAAGAATGTTATTACTGCAATAACAGTGATCTGCCTGTGTTTGTGTGTGTGCCGATGAATTCATAATAAATTTGGATGAAACGTGTAAGGATTATTGTCTCGTTTCAAAGTATTGTGTGCATATTAAACAGATGTTTCATAGCGTAGATAGAGGGTTTTAGAAGGCTTATAAAACTTTACTTAGACAGTTAGAAGTGCTTCGTCACATGCTTGTATATTTCATCTCCTTGTATATAAAACTACAATATTAATTTTAATTTTGTCTTTTGACTCACTGAACTCGTCTATGAACAGTAAAAAGTGGAAGCAACTAATACAATCAAGAGGTCGGTCTTTTATTTTTTCAACTGCTGCACCAGTACCAGTCGCAGCTGCATCCCATGGTAAATCTCTCTCTTTGAGCATTGCTGCAAGAATCGCCCAGCCTGTGTGTCTCGCTGCAGGGGGATGAGGCCCACTAACTGTGAGGCACCGAGCCAAGCTGGCGATGCCTCACAGCTTTTTATTTTATTTTATTTTTTGTTGAGGATGATTTATTTGCACATTGTTATCATTCAACCTGTTGTAAGTTTTCTTTGGTGCGTACTATTGCTTGATAAGTTTGGGCCATGAGGATTAGAATTATGGACCAACATGGTCATGAATAAGTTGGTGTAATAGAAAAGACTGATCAAAACATGTATTGTGAAGATACTTTTTTTTTCCTTAATTTGGCTTTGCAAATGCAAATTACTAGTCATTCCCTGACTTGTATGACTCCACATTGTTTGATAGACCATAAAGTTAATTGTTCTAGCATCAGACTAACATAAGGTTATTATATGTGGCAATAATTTTACTCTTAACAACGCAAGTATGACTTAGCAGCTGCTGTTGTTGTGGGAAGAAAGGAGATGTGGCGAAGAAGGGCGATTTGGGACCGGGTTCAGGACTTCCGCGCTCTTACCGGAATTCCAATCACAAGCCCAATAATATCTCTAATAATCGGGAGTGAAGACAAGGCTCTGGAAGCTAGCCAGTTTGTCTCCTTCTCTTATAACCCTTTTTTATGTCTCTATGCACAGATGTGTTTATGATTGTTAGAAAGTTGTTGCTACAACAGATTCTAACCACGCTGATTGTTATGGAGCAGGCATTTGTTGAGATCTGGTTTCCATGTGACTGCAATCAGACCCCCAACAGTCCCACCCAATTCATGCAGGTTTGTGGATATCTTCATATTTTGCTCCTTTTTTTTTCCTTTATAATTTGCTGTAATGTGATGTTCATTTATCTCTCTTAATGTACAGACTATCAAATTTTGTACTTTTTCTTTATGCTGTTATTGAAGTTGATAAACTATCTTCTAGGCTTAGAGTTACTTTGAGCGCAACCCACACCAGGGATGATTTGGTGAAGCTCACAGCTGCACTCTCCGGATGTATAAATTTGAAAGAGATTAGTGTCAATGGTTCAACCGGATATGCGATAGCAAGGATGTAGTTTTCCTTTTTTTTCTGAACAGCAGAGACCACTTAATATTTGGGATGAAAAGAAACTTTTTTTTCTGAACAGCAGAGACCACTTAATTATAGGATGCATTATACATGTTGATAATTACTGTAACGATTATTTTTTGCATATGAACTACGTCTCATTTTTCAAATTTCCTTTTGATTGTTCAAAACCGTTCAAAACACCTATAGATCTATGGAAAACAACTCAAAATACCCCCTCCCTCCTTTTTGTTCATATCCCAAACGAATTGGGGCAATTGAAAATTAGTCAACAACTCAGGGTATTTATGAAATTTACTATATTTTGAGAATAGAGAAGAGTTGGAAAGTTGGTAAATTTAGTTTTCCTTTTGGTGCGGGGAAAAATAAAACCTTACGATATTGATCCTTTAGCAAGATATAATATTACTGCTTTAGCCTTTCTACGCAAACTTTTCTTGTTTCCTCGTTGTTTTCCAAAAAGAGGAAAAAGAGGCAAATCTTTAAATAACACAAAAGGCCTTTTTGGTTTGACACAAAATAAAGGAGATGGCAACAACGAATTTCATCAAAATCATTAAAGAAAAGTTCAAATGATAATTCATTTGCTTTATTGCAAGTATGTTTAGTACTCCAAAAGAAAACAATAATCACCCATTAGATAAACCTATATTTGCTCTATGAACTTTTTCTCAAGTGCACAGCGCACGTAAACCCCAAAACTATAATAATGCATGTTCGTGGATAAGTAAGACAATTTAATATTCTGTATATAACCTATTTATATATATCATCCATTATATATGCTCTCCAATCATAGTTTACTGTTATCTTATACCTCCCCAAGTTCGGAAGTCACAAAACCAATCAACCCCGTTTGGAGTTGAGAGCTGGGTCATGAGCAGCCAGAGCAAGCCAGCGATCCTCTTCCATAATTTGTGGCACTCTTGAGGTGCAAGTGGAGGAGCACTCCTTTTGATGTTGCTGTTCAAACTCATTGTAGTTCATGCCATTTTCCTTGTCTTCTGCTCCCTCTCTCTCCTTCTCAGTTGGTACCAACTGTGTAGAATCAAGAAAAAAAAAAAAAAAAAGACCTTAATGCCAAATTTATCAAAGTTAAATAACATAAAAAGATACCCAAAAATTGGCAATACTAACACTTGTAATGGCAGCAACACTAGTCACACTACTCTGTTGTCTTTGGTGGGTGAGAATCCCACAAAACCCGTCATCGTTGTTTTGGTCATTAGGGGTCTCGTTTAGGTTGATCAGAGAAGTAGAGGTTTTAATGGTGATCATGATTTGGGAGTTTGGGGTCGTTGGTGGAGGAGGAATAGAAGAAGAAGAGGAGGAACCTTTGGAGACAGTGCATAGTGTGGCTGATCTGACAGGACGTTTTGAAGCCAATGGCTTGACAGGAGAAGGAGGTTTGGGTCCACATTGTGTACTCTGATGTTCTTCGAAAAGCTGGTGGGGTTGTGCTGAGGTGGTGGAAGAGGAGATTGATGGTGGGGTGGGGACCACAAGAGGGCCATGGTCATCTGGGTGGACCACAGCCAGAGTTAGAGTGGCCATATTTGGCCACAGGAAGGTCCCTCGTGGTTTGCAAATCCTGAAACCACTCTTCAACTTTTGTATTCTTGTTGCCCTGTCCTCTGTTACTGTGCTTTCCGGCTTGTCCCCTCCCTGATCACCTGATTTGCTTATTGATTTGTTATTTTGTGATCCCTTCTCTGTCCTTCCGCTTCTTTCAGAATCTGATGGTGATGTTGTTGATCGCATTAATAATGTTGGCGGTGCTCCTGACTCTGACAGGGTTAGCTTTCCTGATTTTAACATCCCTATTTGGTCCTGCATTATAGCATTAACTATGCACATCCATGACACTGCCATTATTATCGTTTAACACAAAACGTGGTGATATTTAATGCTACAAATCTTTGTTGATTCATCAAATACTAGTCATAAAGTTGGCCAGATGTTTTTGAAGAATTGGTTTTGCGCTATTTTCATGTGGCAAGTCTTAAAGAAGAAACCCAATCATTGTCCTAATTAATAGAAGAAGCGGGAAGTGATTAATATCGAACTACAGTACCATTTATTAGGGAAACCATCTTGGTTGCCACTATTTGAACTAGAAGGGTCGAATGTTAACTCATCAAAATGTGCCTGACGTACTATAAAGCTTTAAATGGTTCCCAACATAAAGCATGAAAGACAAATTTATTAAACAATAACTCATGCATGCAATTTCAACTTTCTATTACAACCATAAACCACAAGTTAGAATTTACGTTTTGGTACCTCCATTTCACTCAAATAATCAGAAATTTCCATCAGTTGCTCCTCAACCTTTGCTTTTCTATTCACCAACTCCATGTGCCTTTTCTGTGGTAAAAGATAGACAAGGTGTCAAAAACTTACTAAAATAGGATTTCAGTCAAAAGAAGAAAAGAAGAAAATTATATATTGACTGTTCACAGCCCAACTATCATTAGCAAAAAAATTTCCAATTAGTGTCCCTTTTTCACTACTAACCTTCATTAGTAGTAAAGAGCCTTCATGGTCAAATTGTACACTGGACTTAGAATTTTGGCCGGCCTCCATTGGCTTCTTGAAGGCGAGCTCCTCCATATTCCTATAAAGTCATCAATTCAATTCCCAATGTATCAAATCAATATTGGCTAGAGAATCAGACGTATTTAGAATAGTAAGACAAGAAAGAGGCCAAATAAACACATCAATATTACTTATTCATCTTAACCATTTCTTCTCTAAGCTGCTTAACTTCTCTCATGGAAGCATACTCCTCGTCTTGCTTCTTCAAAACGAGTTCCTGAATCATCCTATAAAGCGAAAAAAGTAAAAATATAAAGGTTCCAACTCCCAAAACAAAAAACAAATGACAAAGATAGCTAGATAAAAAGCCAAAATTTTGGGTCGATATATCACATAAAGTCCTTACTTTTTAATGTTGACCATCTCTTCCTTAAGAGTCTTAATCTCTCTTGCACAAACAGGATCCTGCGTGGGACTATCACCAGGCTTCCATCCTGTTGGAGGTGTCCAATAAGGGTCTTGCACCCCAGCCTGCCTCCTTATGTTAACCAAATCAGCACTTTCTATCCAATACTCCATGGCCCCATCAGAATTATGCCGTCGTCGGAACCGATCAGTTCCACCAGGTGCGACCTTTCCGGCCATATGCTTCAGTAAATGGTCTAACAACCCCGTGTCTCCAATCAGCTTGCGTGCCTCAGTTCTCAAGGCAGGCCTTAGTATTGATTTCCCAAACACAGCACCTTTTGCCTTCATAATCTTCAACATGTTCTCCTCAGCCAATTTGTACCTTCACAGATTCAATAACCACGCACCATTAGAAAGGAAAAATGAGAACAAAATCAGTGAGATTTGAAGAAACTAATTGAGAGATAGTCCTCACCTCGCTGTAGACCATCTCTCTATGGAGTTTCTGAAAGGCTTTTTCTTACTCCGACTGAGACTTTTCTTATTTTGTTTCTGATCAGTCTTTGCTCTTTTCAAATTCTCAGTCTTGCTATTCATACCAGGGCGCTTTCTCTTACTAGAGCAACAGTTCTTAACCCCAAACGCGTCAGCCTCTACCTTCACCTGACCTTCTTCAACACCCTCTGCTACTTCTTCCTCTTTTTCTTCCTGATATTCCTCCTCTACTTCTTCCTCCTTTTCTTCCTGAACTTCCTCCTCTTCTTTCTGTGCCTCGTTATCGTCATCATCCTCATCGGCAGTGCTTGCTAAAACACCGAGCTTGTACTCGTGATGGCGATTAAGGAAGCGAATTTTCCGGCGCTTGCCCCACCGAACCATACCAGTGAAGTTGAGCTCAGACCAGCAAGAGCCCTTCTTAGAAATCACATCTTCGACGCCATTTCTCTCGGCTGCCAACGCTGGTGATGCCCAGAAGCTCCACAAGTTCCCATCTTCAGCAATTTCCTGACATGGGATTCTCCTTAAAAGCACCTCAGCCGCCATGCCCGACCCCATCACGTACTTCTCATCCAAAGCAGGCAGCTTTTTCCCTTCCGGTTTACCATAGTTTCCGTCGCTGAAATGGGTCCGAAGGGAATGAACGCTTGGGAACCTCAATGAAGCATTTGACCCAGCCTTCTCACTTACCTGCATAAATCGAAATCAGTAACTTTCTTTTGATGCCTAGTTAACAGATAACTAACCAAAAGAAATTGAATAAAAAAAAATTTTGGAAGTGGGTTTGGCGAGAAAATTACCATGGCCACCCTAATGGAGTAGAGCTGCTCCGGGGTCTTGGGAGGGAGCTTGGAGTGGTCAATTTCGTAGAAAGAACCTACCTTTATTTGCTCTACAGCTTCTGCTGTATAATGAGAAAAATGACCAAGAAGTTACAAGGCATAAGAGTTACAGCAGAAGGGGAAAAAAAAGAATAAATATGGAAAATTTGAAGATATATCGTAAACAAGGCTACAGATGGCTGTAGGGTGTGGTAGTACGTACCAGATGAGGCCAGAGCATGTCTGGCCAAAGAAGGGCTTTGTGCTCTTTGCCTTGGCCTAGTCAAGTACATCACCTCCTGCCACATGAGAACCAATAGTGAAACAAACGCCAGATATTTGATTTATAGATTTATTTTTATCTTATATCTGTTTTAACGTAATGTATATTATCTAGCACACTAATAAGTATCATACCCCACTAGTATACCATGTAGTCTTATTTATGTTCCAGCAAGTGCCCTACATGTACAAAAATCCCATGTAATTTCTGCTTTTTTTTTCACTCTAAAACTTTAGCATTTATTTTTCATTAAAACTTTAACATTTATTTTTCATAAAAATCCCAAGTAATCTGGGCTTTGTCATCTTCTTACAGAGTGTCCACGCTCAAATGTTTATGCGGCTCGCTCGCAATCTCATTATTACGGTAATCGTTTTCATTTTGTTCTTTTGCAGGCTCAAAGAAAAGCATATCAACCTTGATTTTGCATGGCCAAAAAGTTGATGCACGAACGGTTCTCAAGCGCCTTTTGGAGCGCGTGGAAGGAACAATAAAGTGCGATTGCATTTAATGCGGATTTTTTGTCTCTTTTTTTTTTTTACTGAAATTATCTTTTCTTTTCTTCTTCTTATTACTTCACTCCTGAAAGCTTGTTTTCCACATTTATTTATTAAAAAAAAAAGAAAGCTTATTTCCTTTTCCCCTTGTCAAAAAAAAATAATAATAATAATGAAGCTTATATTTACTTAGCAAATACAAGTAATTTTCGGTTTTTATTTCTTATTTCGTTTATTTCCACTACTGAAAGCTTATTTCTCCTATCCCCTTTCAAAAATGAAAAAGAAAGACTATTTTCCCAACCTTTTAAAGGGAAATATTCATTTAACAAATAATAATAAATTTCACTTTTGTTCAGTCACCAAAAAAAAAAAAAACCAAAATCAATTTTTGGTTTGTGGAGCGTGGGTTGATGTGCAGAGAATTGAGAGTGTGTAAGTGGCATGCGAGGGAAGTTATACCAGAAAAAAGGAATTTTCTCTGAAGGTGCATGCTGAGGGTAAAGAGAGCTTACATTGCGATAGCCACAGCCATGTTTTGCAGCTTCATCACTGAATTGATCACTCGAGCTTCCCTCCATACTTTTGATCCTAACAAAATTAGGCAATAATAAAAATGGGTAATCAAGAAAATCTGCTAAAATAAGCTTTCAAAAATGGTAATACACATACACACTAAGACTGTAAATTCCCTTAATAAAAGACCACCACCATTGGAGAGCAGATCAAGAAATTTCCATTTCCGTTCTTAAGCTCTCAAAACAACGGTGAAAATGACAATTCTATGTAAATTTGGAGGCAAGAGTAGTAAAGACAAAGTCGAAAAAGTAGGAGTACTAGTACTAGAACAATGAGTTTGATTTTTGGACTCCGCAAAATAGCTGAAAACACGAAAGGTTCTATGTATAGTAATCGACAGAAAATATAGCGGCTGTGTAAGAAAACTTGCGAAACACAGATGTAGAAAAAGGCTTTGCAGATTCCAGCTATTGAGCTAAAAGATGATTGAGACATAAGTAGTACAAAAATTTAGTGAAACGAGAGGGAGTGTTTGGAGGGTTTGACCTGAAAGCGATCAAATGATCGGATTTCAAAACATTGGAAACGACAGAAAACTCGAATTGGAGAAAAAGGAAAATCGTTCATCGGTTTTCTTTCTCTGAGAAACTCATGATTTCAAAAACTTTCTCTGTTTAGATATGTAAAGAAACGAGATGTTCAAATGAAAAGAAACAAGAAAGTAGATATTACAGATCTTCAGATCATTTTCAAGCGGAAAACCCCCGTTTATTAAGCAAATAGAATCACAAGAAGAGAAATGTGGAAGGATTGAGCTAAGAAATCGAAAAGAAGATCATCGGAACTGCATATTAATCAAACTACTAGAGAACTAACTTTAGTTAACAGTGAAGCTAAAAAAGAAGAAAAAGAAGAAGAGACGAATGAATAATCTGGAAGAGTTATATATATATATATTATATATGCACATACTTCACACACTTTATATATATATATATATATATGCATACATATATATAGAAAGAACTCAAGAAACTTTCTGGAATGAAGCTCAGAAAAGATTCATGGAAGTTGACAAACGATGTGAAAACGAGTACTAAACGAAGAGAAGAAGATCAATGAGATTATGTAAACCAGACCTTTTTCGAACTGAATAATATGAATCAAAAAGCTTCTTCTTCTTCTTCTGTGTATTTTGAAGTAGAAATTCTGGTGGGTATATATATATATATATATAGAGAGAGAGAGAGAGAGAGAGAGAGAGAGAGAGAGAGAGAGAGAGAGAGAGAGAGAGAGAGAGAGAGAGAGAGAGAGAGGGAATTCTGTTATGCGTGAAACCGAGTGAGCAAAGTTTTGCAAAGGGCAGTAGTGAGAGTGATGGGAGAGAGAAGTAATGATGATATTTACCAGACGTAAACTACCTCACGTGCCATTGGCCTCTTTGGATTGCTCTCTCCAAAATTGTGTTTGCTTCGTCTTTTTCATTTCCGAAAACACCCCCAACCCAATTGCAAATATTTTATTTTTGGTCTAATCCATGTAATGGGGATCAAATGTTATTCATTTGTCCTTCCAGAACAGGATGTTCACTTAAATTGTGTTAATTAGCTGGTCCAAAGAAAGATTATAGTAACGCATTAATGCATGCAAATGAAAATTGGTTCTAATTGCTAGGATATTATGTTGGAGTTGTTGCCCTTAATTATCTTTTACATGTTTAAACTTTCATAATTTATATTTTCTTCTTTTTTGTTTTTTTTTGCAATAACCGAGCTTATTGTACTTATTTATCACACAATTGAATTTATTAAACGTTTGTGTTTAGACAAAATGATAGTTTTCAGCATTTTTCCCATTAAGTAATATAGTGTTAATTCAAAAAGAAAAATAAAATTTGATATATTGTTAACTCTAATAAATTGAATTAGACCTCCACAAATTATGTTGACGAACAATGTATAAATCCAACCACAAAGTGGTTCCCTCAAAACAAAATAAGTTGAAGCTTTACTTGTACTTAGTGTTCACCTTGGTTTGGTCCAATGCCCACTTAATTTCACAAGATTAGTTCGCCTAGTCTGTATTTGATGGCCTTATCTTTCGTTTCTTGTAAATAATTTCATAGAGTAGAAAATATAGAAACGAGAATAATATTGTAGAATTTCTAGTTGGCACTCTTATTATAGTTAAACTTTAATTAGAAAATTTGGTAATTAAGAGGCAATTTTTTTTGTCTCTAGCTCTTATTCTAAACTAATTGAATTCAAAATTTGTAAAAAATGTACAAATAAAGGGCGCTTTTTTTTTTTTTTTTTTTTTTGTGGCTTGGAGAGATCTAGGGCCAATTTTATCTCAACAATTCTATTCAGATTATTAATTTTTTGACCACTTTCCTTGTACTATAACAATGTCAAAAGTGCACGTGAAATTGTTAAGAGAAGGTATTCTAGCTAGCATACCTTTTTTTTTTTTTTCATCAGAATATAGTAACCTTTTTCCTAGAGATAAATACATGTACTCTTTATAAAGATGGACCACAGAACATTCCCTCCGTGCCAATTTTTGCAAAATATCATTGATCTATATTCGAGAATAACTCACGTGCCTTCCAATTAACAATGTGAACCCTAGACCTAAAATGGTCAAAATCACCAAGCAACATCACAAAATTTGTAGAATTAAATACAAAACACAATTTTGTCAAGCGTCAAATACCCTTCTCACCCTCTGAATAGTGAATACCTCGACCAAGCAACCAGACACAACCAACTGAATGCCCCTAAGGACTACTATCCATGTAAATTTCTTTATCTTGAAAAGCATGCAATGCAGTGTGTAAACTACACAGTACGATTTGATAATCTGTTCATTCATAATCACGATTGTCGTTTGGCGAAAGGTGGCGATGTAACGGGCCAAAAAATCTCACGTGGAATAACTAGGAAGAAGTAGACATGCCACGATTTTTTTCAATTTTGATTACAATTACATACATGGAATAGCTAAACCAAAACAGGTGCAGAACTTTCCAAGGTATACATACTCACTGACGCCTTTTGAAATGAACAACCAACTATTTACAACAACGACAAATCAGAATTAGGGTATAAGAACAACAGAACCGGTTGTTTTACGACCCTCTAGGTCTGCATGTGCCCGAGCTGCCTGAGACAGAGGGTATGTGTGATTTACTCGAACCTGCAAAACACCTGTTGCAACACTGGCAAAGACCTCTCCAGCGGCCGCCAGTAGTTCATCTCGAGTTGCATTGTAGTGCATGAGACTTGGCCTCGTTAAGAACAGTGATTTTGCCGCAAGAGCTGATAATGGTACTGGATCTGGTGCCCCTGATGACTGTCCAAAACTCACCATGTATCCACGGAGTTTTAAGCATGCCAACGATCCCTGGAAACATAAACTTTCCTGTAAGACTCTTTTACAGAACGTTACAGATTAGATCTAACAGGGCAAAAACTACTTTGAATTACCCAATTGGGTTGTTGTTTGAATCTTTGCAATATCCCAACCTTTGATTGTCAAACTTGCAGTTCCCATGAACCAAGCACGGGATGGATGGTGTACCAATGGGAAGATGCCAAGGATGAAAGAAGGGTATCGAGCGTTAAGGTAGGTGAAAAGTATCCATTACCTGAAAGGTATCCTTCCCTACAGAATCATAGACGACATCAACCCCGTTGCCTGATGTAATCTCATTAACGCGGGCAACAAAATCCTCTTCCCCGTAAATTATGACATGGTGAGCTCCATCATCCTTGGCTTGAGCGGCTTTCTCTTTTGTAGAGACAGTTCCAATGACAGTGGCTCCAAGAGCATTAGCCCATTGGCATAATAGTGATCCAACTCCCCCCGCCGCTGCGTGGACAAGAATTGTGTGTCCGCGTTCAACCTTTAGAAAGAAAATAACAATTATCAGTCAGTTAATAGCACTGACAGTTCTCCTTCACTTGCTACACATGTGAAAAGGACTATTCCTAACTTGTTCTGGATGCCACAATTTATCTATACACAAACGCATAATCCAAAATGAGAGTCCATAAAAATATACCTTGAAGGAACGACGGAGTAGATACTGAGTCGTCATGCCCTTAAGCATTATAGACGCAGCAATAACAGGACCAATGGATTCAGGAACCGGCACAACTTTGTCGGCAGGAAGGATCTGCTCTTCAGCATAAGAGCCCATTGGAGCCCCGGCGTAAGCAACAATATCACCGACTTGCCTGCCAGTTAGCCCGGGACCTACTGCGGTCACAACACCACAAGCCTCCCCACCTGGAATGGAATAATCTTACTCAGCACACAATAAACCTAGTAATTAATTAGCTAATGGGAACTAGAAGTGATTAACAATAATAGCCCCCACTTAATCATCATTTAGAAGCAAATTGTGTTTCACTAGTAAGCTCTAGATATGTGAAACAAAACCTGGGGTGAATGGGATTGTGGAAGCCTTATAAACCCCTTTGCGGAAGTAGACATCAATGAAGTTCAGTCCAATAGCCTTGTTTTTCACACGAATTTCACCGTCCTTTGGCTCCCCTATTTCCACATCTTCCCATTTTAACACCTTCCACAGTTATGTACAACAAATCAATGAATTACTATAAAAAAAAATAATATAAAAAAAACAAACAAACAAACCACTCACATATGGGAATTTAGAAATTATCAAAAATTTTACCCACAGATTCTAAGTATGCAAAACTAACTATAAACTGTTAATACTAATCAACTACTCTCAAATCAACATATCAATCATTTAGTCCAATTAGATATATCCTCTAACCCATGAAAAAAGACCCCCTTAAAAAATCCAAAATTGGTTCTCAAGGAATGATCATTATAAAATACAGAGAGAGAGGAAAAATAAGAGATGGGAATGTTTAGAGAGAGACCTCAGGGCCACCGAATTCATGAACCCTAATAGCTTTGACCATGTCTGCTGGTGAATGGTGATGATGCTTGAGTGGCAAGGGCTCTCAGTGATAAGGTCTAAGGTTCCAAAGTGTTAAGACCAAGAGCTAATAGAGTAGTAGCCACTATAAATAAACCATAAAAAGTGGAAAAAGCTGTAAACTTGGACGGAAATGGCGATGGCTATGGCGTGAAGACGACAAGTTAGTCGGCTGAGTTTGTTTGGTACTGGAATGAAGCTGCTGACACGGGAGAGTGGCGATGATATAGGTTGACTAGCCCAAGTGAAAGGAGACGTGTAAATTGTAATGGGCCTGATGATTTTCGGATGACCTCATCGCAAGCCTATGAAAGAAAAAAAAATAGAAAAAATAGAAAAAAAAAATACATAATTTACTTAAGAGTGTATGAGTTTTTACTTTTATCTCTCATTCTTAATTAATATTTTTTTACTTGTATATTTATTTAACTAAAAAAATTATTAATTAAAAATAAAGAATATAAATACTGACTCATACACTTTAAAGATATTCATCACATTTCCTTTACTTAGTAAATAAGTTAAAAGCTCTCACCGTTATAAAAATTAATGTAAAACAAAATATAAATGAAATTTTTAATTTGTTGTTCCCAAATAAAAAATTAGAAATGTAAATTAAAAAGCTTTTTAAAAGTTCTTTTTTTTATAAGCACTTAAAAAAGTCAAAAACACTTTTATATTGTTCATCTAAACATATTTAAAAATTAATTTTAGAGTAAATAAGCTAAAAATAATTTTTTTTTAAGCCAATCCAAACAGATTCTCAGACTCTGTATATGTCCTTGCTTATAGACTTCTTAATCATAGATTGTTATTATTATTATTTGGAGACATCTAAGATAGGATATGATATATATATATATATATATATATATATATATATATATATGTGTGTGTATACATATCAACCGGTAAGGCTGTGTATTGAACGGTCGATGTTTACAAGTTTTTATCATACTTTAGATAGAAAACTTTTTTTTTTTTTGGTTGAGAAATTTGTTGCAACATTAGATCCCTGTTTAACGAACTGATTGTTTTAAAAAAAATATACTAAAACTAACTGACATTGTGTTTGTTGATTTACTATTTGATATACTAAAACTGTGATTTATTTGCTCAATAACAAAACTTAAAAAAGATGAAAATAAACTCTTTAAAGGAATGCCACAATTATGGGACTTAATTGAATTATGGCACGAGAAAAAACTATACGCACGTCATGTCATACAACTATTTTTAGAATATCAAATATACTCGTAAGATATCAGGATGCCATACCAGCTGATATCGACCGTAATACTGGTAACGATCAGGTAACTATCGTCATGCCTATCAAAAACCACCATAATACCAGCCGGTTCGCACCGTTAATGGCAACAGTACTTCTGTAAAAAGTTAGATGATCACATTGTGTTAATATCCTTTTTTTTTTTTTTTTTCACCAAATGAGCCCACGCAGAACGCCATAAGTAATGGAACACATATCAAGTACTGCCCACGAACTCAACAATTTGTTTGTCATGTAAGTTTATTCACCTTTGTCCAGACTCCAGCGGCTAACCCAAAACAGGCGTAGACCTATGCAAATTACAGCACGTATATACTAGTGTCTTTTCAAATGAACAAACCAACTATTCATATAACAATCAGAGATGGTAAGAATCAGGGTATAAGAACGACGGAACCGGTTGTTTTACGACCCTCTAAGTCTGCGTGCGCCTGAACTGCCTGAGACAGAGGGTACTTGTGATTTACTCTAACCCGCAAAACACCTGATGCCACATTGGCAAAGACGTCTCCAGCAGCCGCCAATAGTTCATCTCGAGTTACGTTGTACTGCATGAGACTTGGCCTCGTCAAGAACAGCGATTTTGCTGCAATAGATGATAATGGTACTGGATCTGGCGTCCCTGATGACTGTCCAAAATTCACCATGTATCCCCGGAGTTTTAAGCATGCCAATGATCCCTGGAAACAAAAATCTTCTTATGAGACTCTTCCAGACTATGACCGACTAGAACGACAAAGCACAAGTTACTATGAATCAACCAAACCCCGTTCTGGCCTAAATCTTTGCAACGAAGAATAAAAAAAAAACTCTCATAGTCTAGGACCTTGGGCAGGTGAAAAAGTATCCATTACCTGAAAGGTATCCTTCCCTACAGAATCATAGATGACATCAACCCCGTTGCCTGATGTTATCTCATTAACGCGGGAAACAAAATCCTCTTCCTTGTAGATTATGACATGATGCGCTCCATCGTCCTTGGCTTGAGCGGCTTTCTCTTTTGTCGAGACAGTTCCAATGACAGTGGCTCCTAGAGCATTAGCCCACTGGCATAATAGAGATCCAACACCACCCGCTGCTGCATGAACAAGAATTGTGTGTCCACGTTCAACCTGCACAAAGACAATTAAGCAATATTAGACAAAATTTTGTAATTATGACTCTGTTAATAGACACATGGTGACCTACATAAACAGCATTGCCAGTTCTACTTCACTTGCCACACATGTGAAGGGGTCATGCCTGTCATGTTGTGGATACGACTTTTGTGGATAAAAGCTAACAGAACACGAGGCTGCATATAAATATACCTTGAAGCAACGGCGGAGTAGAAACTGTGCGGTCATACCCTTAAGCATTATGGATGCAGCAATGACAGGATCGATGGATTCAGGAATAGGCACAACTTTTTCCGCTGGAAGGATCTGCTCTTCAGCATATGAGCCCATTGGGGTGCCAGCATAAGCTACAACGTCACCGACTTGCCTATCAGTTACTCTGGGACCTACTGCAGTCACAACACCACAAGCCTCCATACCTGGAATAGGAATAAACTTGCTGAGTATACAATAAAGCAAGTAATTAATTAGCTAATGGCAACTAAAATGATTGTAAGCTGCAATTATCATCATTATTGATTGAAACAAACTGCGCTTAACTTGTAAACTCTCGAGGATTAAAACAAAACCTGGGGTAAAGGGCATTAGAGGAGCCTTGTAGACCCCTTTTCGGAAGTAAATATCAATAAAGTTGAGCCCAATGGCCTTGTTTCTCACACGAATCTCGTCCTCCTTTGGCTCTCCTATTTCCAAATCTTCCCATTTTAACACCTTTCACAATCATTTGCAACAAAGTGAGTAAAATAGAAAAGTTCATTGACATACATTTCATGTCAAATTACTCATCAAATACCAACATCAACTCGAAAAATATGATATTCTAATCCCTGAAAAAATCCCAACAAAAATCCGAGATTGGTTCTCTACAAACACAAAACAGACTATCCCAGCAGCCCAAAAAAAAAAAAAAAAAAAAACTACTTCCATGTGCGAAATAAAAAAGAATAACAAATGAAACAAAAGAAAACTAAAAGAGGGGTGTTTAGAGAAAGACCTCAGGTCCACCAAGTTCATGAACCCGAATAGCTTTGACCATATTTACTGGTGATGAGTCTGATACTTGAGTGGCAAGCGCTCTTACTGTTAAATTCTGGCTAAATCCAAGTGTTGGAGATGAAGAGATTCTAGGCTTGGAGCTATTATTGGTCGCTATGTGTGGAAAAAGCCTTGAACTTGGATGGAAATGGTGTGAAGTGAATCGAGTCGGTACTAGAAGAAGATGCTGCAGGGTTTGACACTGGAGTTTTAGCTTTACCAAACCCATCAATTTTCACTTTCGTTAGATTCAAACAAGGCAGATTCGGCTTAACTGAAGGAGAAGTGTGATGGTCCTTTCGTTATGGGCCAGGGCCATGTGGACTCTTTATCTTGGGCTCACTCGAAGCCCTCTCTATTGAAGCATTGGCCCGGTTATCTGTATTTTTCGAGGGGAAAGAAGATAAATACTAAGGGCTCGAGTCATTTACTCATTATTTTTAATTAATATTCTTTTAATTAAATAATTATATTAGTTAAAAGAGAATTAATTAAGAGTGAGAGATATGCACTCTTAAGGGTAAGTTCAACAATTCTCTCTCTTTTTTTTTTTTTTGAGAAAATTAAGGAAATTAAGGAATGTGTCCTTACAACATTTTATTTGCGTCATTACTTTAAAATTATATGCATCCAAAGTTAATTATAAAGAAAGAAAATGATGGCAAAAATTTTGTAATAAAAATCACAAAATTGTCAATCTCCCTCACTAAGAAGCATTTCTCTAAAATGTGCATTAAATTACTTACATTTTAGTCCCCTATATGCATATGGTCAAAAACATTGAAAATGCTTGCAAATTGAAGTTTCACAAAAGCATACTCAATTTGCTTTCCAAAAGATTATCATTAATTTCTGTAAATCTACAGCCTTAAACGGACAAAGGTGTCATCTGGTAGGCTAGCTTTATTTAAATGTCAACGCTCTCATCATCTCACTGTTGGAAAACTTATCAATGTATATACATCTTACACTTGGTTATTTATCTTTTTATACCATGTATATTGAGTAGAATTATTCACTACGCATTTTATATGTTCTCAAAACTGTACCTTTTGATACGCTGATTTTAACCACTTTAATGACTACTATTTATCAGAATGAACAAGTTTATGAGCATATTAATTTTGAAGGGTAGAAGTCTTCATTTCGGTGGTACATATAGATTGATATGAAATTGAGATTCAGATGCACAATGTTTAGACATAATAGACTTTTTTTTTGTTTTATAAACTTAAAATGTAGGGCATAGAATAATAAACAACCCAATCTTAATGTTTCTATAATTACCATATTACCCCATAGCAAAATGCAAAGGAAAAGCACATAAGTCGTTGTCACACATTACAAAAGGCCAACATATATCCAATATATAACCTAATACATACTACTCATGCTATGAGTAATGATACACATTACTTCTCTACAAGCAGCTAGATCACATCTTTGCTCTCCAACCGAGCTTTGCAAAACCTATAAACATTAACCTTTTTGCTAGCACATAATTAACTTTTTGCTAATACTAGCACACATATACGTATACTTAATGACGTGGTCATAGGTAATTAACCCAAAACAGGCGCAGAACTATACAAATTACAATACGTATATTTATACTAGTGTCTTTTCAAACAAACAAACCAACTATTAATATAACAATGAGCGACGGTGAGAATCAGGGTATAAGAACAACAGAACCGGTTGTTTTACGGCCCTCTAGGTCAGCATGTGCCTGCGCTGCTTGAGACAGAGGGTATGTGTGATTTACTCTAACTCGCAAAACACCGGATGCAACATTGGCAAAGACATCTTTTGCAGCCGCCAATATTTCATCATGGGTTACATTGTAGTGCCCGAGAGTTGGCCTCGTCAAGAACAACGATTTTGCTGCAAGAGCTGATAGTGGTACTGGATCCGGCGTCCCTGATGACTGTCCAAAACTCACCATATATCCACGGAGCTTTAAGCATGCCAATGATCCCTGAAAGCAAAAACCTCCCTGTAAGACTCGTTTCCAGGTTGTGACAACTGGACTAGCAAAGTAGAAGTTAACCGTGAATTGACCAAATTCGGTTCTGGCCTAAATCTTTAGCATAATCAATAAACAGAACTTTTGTAGTTTAGGCAGGTGAAAAAGTATCCATTACCTCAAAGGTATCCTTCCCAACAGAATCATAGACGACATCAACCCCGTTGCCGGAAGTAATCTCATTAACGCGGGCCACAAAGTCCTCTTCTCCGTAAATTATGACATGGTGAGCTCCATCATCCTTGGCTTGAGTGGCTTTCTCTTTTGTTGAGACAGTTCCGATGACAGTGGCTCCAAGAGCATTAGCCCACTGGCATAACAGAGATCCAACCCCACCAGCTGCTGCGTGGACAAGAATTGTGTGTCCGCGTTCAACCTGTACAAAGACAGTTGAGCAATATTATGCAAAATATATAATTTAGCACTCTTTCAATAGACACATAGTGGCCTGCATAAATAACATTTCTCATTCTACTTCACTTGCTATACATGTGAAAGGGGAGACGACTGTTATCGATAAAATGCTAATCGAAAGCGAGGCCGCATATGGACATACCTTGAAGCAACAGCGGACTAGAAACTGGGTGGTCATGCCCTTAAGGATCACGGATGCAGCAATAACTGGAGTAATGGATTCCGGAACAGGTACAACTTTGTCTGCGGGAAGGATCTGCTCTTCAGTATATGAGCCCATCGGGTTCCCAGCATAAGCCACAACATCCCCGACTTGCCTATCAGTTACTCCGGGACCTACGGCGGTCACAAGGCCACAAGCCTCCCTACCTGGAATAGGAATATAAAATTACTTAGTATACAAATAAAGCAAATAATTAATTAGCCAATGACAATTAGAATAATGACAAGATGCAATTATCATCATAACAAATTATGTTTAATTTGTAAAGCTATAGAAGAATAAAACAAAACCTGGGATAAAGGGCAATGTAGGAGGCTTATAGACCCCTGTACGAAAGTACACATCGATGAAGTTCAGTCCAATGGCCTTGTTTCTCACACGAATCTCACCTTCTTTTGGCTCTCCTATTTCCACATCTTCCCATTTCAACACCTTTCAAAATCATTTACAACAGAGTGATTAAAATAGAGAAGTTTACCATTGACATCAAGGCATGTTTGACCTCAGATATGAGAATTGAGGAAAAAAAAACTGTTATTGCTAATCAGTTAATCAGCAAATATCAACAACAGGAACTTGTCAGTAATTAATGCCAAATCCGATGATAGTCTAGTATCTTAAAAATAAAAAATAAAATAAATAAATAAACTTATCAGCAAATATCAACAACAGGAACTTGTCAGTAATTAATGCCAAATCCGATGATAGTCTAGTATCTTAAAAATAAAAAATAAAAAAAATAAATAAACTTATCAGCAAATATCAACAACAGGAACTTGTCATAATTAATGCCAAATCCGATGATAGTCTAGTATCTTAAAAAAAAAAAAAAAAGAAACCCGAATTTGGTTCTCAAGAAATTATCATTAATTATATACTACAAACACAAAACTGAAAATCCCAACTGCCAAAAAAAAAAAAAAAAAACTCCATGTGCAATATAAACAACAAAAACAGAAGTAAAAGAAGGGGTGGTTAGAAAGAGACCTCAGGTCCACCAAGTTCATGAACCCTAATAGCTTTGACCATATCTAATGGTGATGATACCCAAGTGCTGAAGATGAAGAGCTAATAGTCCGTCTTGGAGCTCTTCGCTATGTGTGGAAAAAAAAAAAGCTTTAAACTTGGATGGAAATGGCGTGAAGCCAATTGAGTTTACCAGAAGAATGCGAGGGTTTGACAATGGAGTTTTAGCTTTAGTAAAATCACTATAAATCCATCAATTTTCACGACTGTTAGATTCAACTTTTGCTTTTGTCGTGTGTGGAAATCAACGTGACATTACGCGCTGAACTTAATGTAGACGTGTAATTGCCCTCATTCTTAATGAGCCTCATGAGTTCTTCAGATTGGGCTCATTGGAAGCCCTCTTTATTGAAGCTTTAAATTGGCCTGATTATATGCATCATTGAGACTAAGAGCACCGTTTGGTATAAAGATTTTACAACTCGAAATTATGATTCTAGTTTAAATCAATATTTTTTTATAAAAAATAAAAAATAGTTTGATTTGATTTATTCAGGATCAATATTTAATTTAGATGGTTCTGATTTAAAGTTTGAATTTTGATGTGATGTTTTAAATCAGAATCACTCATAATTTTAAAATCACCTCCCTTGATTTTAGGTGGTTTAAATCCTTGATTCTAGTTCTGATTTCATAACCATGATTTAGACTTAAATTCATGAATCAGAGTTAGAACTCAAATATATTTGTAAAAAAACTCAAGGCTAGTTTTCGCATCAAAATAGTATAGATGAGTAATTTAAATACAAAAATAGTATACGGCTTAATTTACATTTGAGAAAATTAAAAACTGTGTCCCCTAACTCACTTTATATTTTCATCATTATTTTACCATTTTATCTATCTAAAATTAATATATAAAGGACAAAAATATAAAAAGATAACACAGTCGAAAACACGAAAAGACGTTACAAAAATCAATACATGTGTATAACTATTATAAAAATCACGACATTCATATATAATCAATTTCAAACATGAACTTTTAGAAATTTAACATAGGTAAGAAAAACAATTTTTATGCTCACTCACTAAAAAAATTGTCTCTCTAGATTCATGTGATTTCAATGTATAAATTTCTTATGTATGGGCTATTTACACTTTTATACCCTTTTTAAGCTCATATAAATCGTTCACTGTGCATTTTAAATGTTCAAAATTGTATGTTTCGATTCAATTTCATATCAAATTTATACAATCTCTTGTTTTTGGCCACTTTGATGACTTTACTAGTTGTTAGGGGTATAGAGTGAACATAGGCCAACATATATCAGATTTATAGCTTTACATACATAATTGCTCGAGTAAATGCTATACATAGCAGCTAACCCAACAATTTTTTATGATTCCATAAATTTTAGTCACCTTTGTCTAGCAGCTAAACCAAAAAAGGTGCAGAACCTTCCAATACACTAGTTTCATTCCAAATGAACAAACCAACTATTTACAACAATGAGAGATGGCAGGAATCGAGGTATAAGAACAACGGAACCGGTTGTTTTACGACCTTCTAGGTCTGCATGCGCCTGAGCTGCCTGAGACAGAGGGTATGTGTGATTTACTCTAACCCGCAGAACACCGGATGCAACATTGGCAAAGACACCTTCAGCAGCTGCCAACAGTTCATCTCGAGTTACGTTGTACTGCATGAGACGTGGAAAAGTCAAGGACAAAGATTTTGCTACAAGGGCTGATAATTATTACGAGTGAAAACGAAAGAAGTGAAAACAGAGAAGCCAAAAATGAATGAATTCTTCACTCTGTATTGAATTGAATATTCGTACCAGTACAAGAATATATATACACACTGCTGTACAAGTACACGTGTACAAGAGCACGTGTAAGTTACATTAGTACATAACTAAGCACTAACAGACTTTAGAAAACTAACAACAAATTCTAAACTAACTAACAACCTAAAACTCCCCCTCAAGATAGATTGTGGATATCCTTGACAGCCATCTTGAATAGTAAAGAAAACAATGAAGGATCAGGCAAAGCCTTGGTGAACAAATCGGCAAGCTGATGTTGAGAACGTATGGGCAGAAGCTTGATTGTGCCATCAACAACTTTATCTCGCACAAAATGACAATCAATTTCAATATGCTTGGTGCGTTCGTGAAAAATAGGATTAGATGCAATATGGACAGCAGCTTGATTGTCACAAAACAACAAGGTTGGAGCAGAAACAGGAAAATTTAAAGTAACAAGAAGTTGCTGAATCCAAACAACCTCACTGGTGACTGCAGCCAAGGCACGATATTCAACCTCGGCAGAGGACCGAGCTATTGTAGTCTGCTTTTTGGCTTTCCAAGAGACCAAAGAATCGCCAAGAAAAGTCAAGGACAAGTAACCGACCTGCGTGAGTCAGGACATGTGACGCCCCTCCTATGAGGCCGCCACTGTAACTTAAACTTTAACTTGTACTTACTGGGGTTTCTTAAAATTTGCGGAACATTTTTTTTTTTTTAATATAAGAAAGAATACTTTCATAATTTGTAACAATAATTTCAAATAAGTGAATCACTAAATTTCTTAAAGCTTTTCTTAATTTCAGTTAAGATAAAACGTTCTAAAAATATCTTTCAAACAGAGCAGCATTTGAACTCTTATTTCAAATGCTCTTTAAAAGTCTTTCTAAAACTAGCCAATTCAATCGGGCCATTTAATTTTGACTTTAAAACGGATTTCGTGAGAAATCTTAAATTCAAGTACATCTTAAAGCCCTTTTAAAATCAATCATTTAAATCGTCATGTTTAAAATTTATTTATTTGTTGCATGCTCTGTTGCAACGTTCTAAAACTTAAATACTCAAAACGAGGGTTGTTAGCTACAACCTCGGTTTCTTTAACATACATATGTACCTATACTTTTTAAACATACATGCTTGAAACCTTTAAATCATATATACATATACATGATTTTTCTTAAACTTACGGCGGAAGATAACTGCGGGAGCGGTATCCATTCCCATC